TTTTTTTTTTTTTTGGGCAGGACTGCAAGATGAGACAATCACTTTAGCAGTGATGGATGAGACTTAAAAGATGTCTTATTTTTCATGAGCCTCTGGCCTGTACCCCAGTTCTGTATGCACAGATACATAAATCTTTAAAAAAAAAAAAAAAAAAAAAAAAAACGTTTCTTCTCTTTGGTCCCTGAGCAATTAAATTTGCAACCTAACCCGATGTTAGGGAGTGAGCCATAAACCTGTGTTTAATTAGTTTGCACCTAATGAGTCATTTTACACACTAGACATTTTAATTTACAACCTGCTGCATTGCAGCACCTTTCTAGGCCTTCTGCGATGTAATAAGGTATTCATCCAGCTGCTGAGGCTTTAAAAATATAGAGACACTCTCAGTTCAGATTTTTTCTTTGTTTTCAATTTTCAGTTGCAAATCAAACACGCAGTTACAGAAGCAGAGATTCAAAAATTGAAGACCAAGGTAAGCACCAATATATGGTGTTTGAATTGTACATTTTAAACTTCAGATGCTATGAATAAATTCAACCCTTGGACTATAGGACTTGTTCCCTGTGCATTTGAAAGAATACAAATGTGAGACCTTCATATCCATTGCTAGAGGCATAGACTAACCTGCCCTGCCGGTGAAATCACATTCCTGTAGGGGGTAAATATCACCATACAACTGCAGTGAAAGCAGCATAGTATTTTGCAGAAACACATTTACATATTTGCACATATGTGACCAGTTCCCCCTGAGCTTTTCTCCAAAAGAAAAGATTTTTTATGGTTCAAGCATCTGAATTATGTTCTAACTACTGACTAACTTAAGCACAAGCTATTATATCTTTTTCCTTTGAGTCACCTTTTAAAAAACAGGTTTTGTCATTTTTTCATGTTTAACTTACTCACCAGAAGCAATGTATTATTTTAATAATGGTTCATTAATTTTTTTTTACTTAGAAAAAAATCTGAGTTTTATTAATCTATTATTTTCAAATTAGTATAATATACCCACACTTGATTTTAGATGCCAGATGCTGCTAGAAACTTTTAAACAAGTTTAGTTCACTTTATTTAAATTTGTGGGAAACTGTAGTTCTCAATGAAAAGGGGTATTTATTTTTTTAGTTTATTTACAAAACAATACAAGATTCAAAAGGGCATTTTGATTGATAAATTATTCGGGACTTAAAAACCCTAAATTTGTTTCTAGTTTTGTCAAATATGTAATTTCAAAGATTTAAAATGTCTTTTGAATTACTTTTAAAACAATATTCTCTGTTGCTTTTATGGTCTTTTTAAAATTAAGACATAATTCCTGTCCACCACTAATGATCCGTTTCCCTATTCACACTGAACACTTGTTTTGGTTTTTCCATATGTTTTAAATGGAGATGAATTAGCAAGGCTATTTTTGGCTAAATGGTATTCTCAGCTAATAACTCTGAAACTCTTTAGTCAAAACATGTCTATACATCATTCATGGTGTCAGCCCAGCTCTCTGAATAATAATTTTTAAATTAGTAGTGGCTGGTAAATAAACAACTTGAATACAAAACATTGCTTAATAAAAGATGCAGTAAAAACCTAGTCCCCTTTTAGATTGCTATTGTTTCTTTGCATAGAATGGAAGAATAGAAGATTTAAAAATAAATGTTGGTTACTATCAAGGGAAAAAGATTCCCATGTGATTAAAACTATTATAACAAAACATGATTTAGACTGTCAGCATTTAATTTAGAAAACTCTATAAATTAGTACTTTATAGTTTTTCTCGTTATTATATTGACATATAATGTCCACAGATCAGATGACATGGTAAAATAAGGCTCTTTATTATCCATGTTGGTAATGATATCCCTAATTTTGAATGTTTTTAGCTATTTTATTTTTTTTACTTTGTAATGCTTTACCAATGGATTTGGTTTCAAATATAAGTAAAAACATACTTTGTTGAATTCTGTAGGATTTGAAATATATTAGATTTTGAAAATTAATAGTTTCTAAAGGCTGTATCATTTTGAACTTTAAAGAAAATATCTGAAATAGATAACGCACTATTTGAAGGTCAAACAGTTACTTTAAATAAATTATCTCTGAGCAAGACTGACCATTTAGTATATCTGTGAGTATACCTATTCCTCAGAGTCTCTAGTCACAGTCACCATTGCCTTTGTATTTCATTGGAATGATTTAAATGAATCCAGCAATAATTTACATTTCTGCTTATACTGGGCTTTATAATTTTATGCAAATTTGTGTTTCTAAAGCTTTGTAAATTAATGACACTGCAAGCACAATATGAGCAGGTTATGTTCACATCAATTGGAGTGAAATATGTAATAATATCAAAAGGGTTAAAAACAAGTTAAAAGTGACTAACATTTTTCATAAGATTACACTGAAGGCACTATTCCAAGCACACAAAAGTGTTATATCACAATTCGGTTGCATAGGTGATATCATTGAGTCCCAGAGAACTTCAGTTACTTGTCAAAGGTTTTAAGGCAGTGACAGCAGAGCGGGTCCGATGGCAACTAAATGACTCAAATGTTCCTCTTGATCATTACACCCGTATTGTGCTTCTGCCTCTCTCTTTCCCTCCTTGTCACTCCTCACATCTGTTTTGTTGTTATTAAATATAACCATATTGTTTAAAAAGAAAACCTAAAACATGTTAAATCCATAGGTAGAATCAGTTAAACTAAAATATTATGATAGAATTTCAGACCATGTGATGTGATGGAAAATTCATGAGTTTGGAATCAAATCCAATTTTTTTTTATAAGCGGTGTGACCTTGAACAAATCATTTCACTTATCGAGGCTTTCATATTATAATCTATGAAACAATGAAAATAATACAAGTTCTATTCATCTCAAGGTTTTTGATGACTGAGTATATGTAACAATGGCATTTAACCTAAAACCTGCATAAAAAGTGGGGGAATTTTGACACAAAAATATCCAGATTATCCTTGCCTTGGTATTTGCTTTGTCCAGCTGCAAGCAGCAGAAAATGAGAAGGTGAGGTGGGAACTAGAAAAAAACCAACTCCAACAGAATATAGAAGAGAACAAAGAAAGAATGTTGAAGTTGGAGAGCTACTGGATTGAGGCGCAAACGTTATGCCACACAGTGAATGAACACCTCAAAGAGACTCAAAGTCAGTATCAGGCCTTGGAGAAGAAGTACAACAAGGCAAAGAAACTGATCAAGGATTTTCAACAAAAGTAAGCAACTCTAGTGACTAAGAATAATAGTCTTTATTTCTAAATGTTTCTATCCAGTAATTTTGTTATCAGATTTATCCCTCTAAGAAGCATATTGAAAGCATATATAGACATTAATTCTTGAAACCACTCTATAGTTGTGTCACAAGTTTCTGCTTTGTTTATTTTACAATTTTTTGAGTAACCAGTTACCTCCTGATGGTATTTTATAATCAGTGATAGTAATTATTAAAACATTTGAACCTCTAACCTTTTTGATGTATCACTGTAATTTGGAAGCAAGTCATACCGAAGTGCTAAACTCCTAGAGTGATACTGGCCACTGTGGCACATACAAAGCAGCAATTGGATTCTTGACCAGGCTGCTTCTCTCTCTGCTCTTAGAATCAATAACGGTAAAGTTTCTCTAGTACAGGTAATGCAAGTATTGACAAACAACATACCATGCCCTGCCACTTTGCCTTTCTCAGATGTTGAAAGAATAACAAGGTTCTCGGTTCACTGTGAGGGACCACACTCTGCGTTTGAATTTCAGTAGCTCTTTCCAAACTAATGCCGCTTTGCTTCCATCTGTTGGATTTTTGTGTAATTTCAGGGAACCAACCAGGGAGTGTTCTACTGCATATTTATCAGTTACTTCTGATTAGCTAGGACAATTAAAAAAGGGGAGGAGGATTAGTACATCTTTTGGCTTTCCACGCCAAGCTGTAGGAACTAAGCATATATATAAAATTCACTGTATTTCACTGTATCTGTGTTTCTTCCTATCTTGGAAATAATATTTTAACATTACAAAGATTACTAAAGAAAGTTTGCTTTTGAAAGGTGGGAGATGTTCTTTGTGACTGTAAATTCAGAACATCACTTTTTTAATTCTTCTGGACATAAAAGTCATATCTTATGTTATTTCTTACAGTAATTTTATAAGAAGTTTTGCTACAATCGCATGCTGTATTCTAGACTCTCAAAGTAGATATTTCTTCTCCTGGTCAGCCCCTTAGAGGTGTGATAGCCCCAGTGTAAATGATCCACATCACCACTCTCCACTGTCATACATAGAAAACAGTCTTCTTATAATTATTTGGATTTCATTAATTTGTAAATGTGGAATCATACTTACCTGACCTATAATTATCTCTATGAAATTACCCAAGGGTAGGTCACTAGGTCACTAGTGCGGTACCTTCTATCTTAATAAGTATTGGTGCTCTAGAATCAGCAGCTGCACATGAAAGTTATAATAAACAGAATGGAAGCTTTGGCCTTTTACTTTGTGACTCATTGAACTATTTTATTTGCTTTTATTACTGTATACCTTTTCTCTATTTGTGCTGAGTCTTGCTTATTTAAATTACTACCCAGTTATGTGTCTTGCTGTACAGTTTAGTGCTTCAAGTAAGAATTTTTATGTTTCTTCAGTTATCATGTGTTTGAAACAATCATATCTATTATTTTCTTATTAAGAGAACTTGATTTCATCAAAAGACAGGAAGCAGAAAGAAAGAAAATAGAAGATTTGGAAAAAGCTCATCTTGTAGAAGTTCAAGGCCTACAAGTGCGGGTGAGTGGTACACTCATTGCCACTGAAGAGGGGTAACGTTTCACCTCATGCTTGGGACAGAGACCTGTTGGAATGAATGATTTTTTTCATGAACGATTTTTTTTTTTTTTTTTTTTTAAGATTAGAGATTTGGAAACTGAGGTGTTCAAGCTACTGAAGCAGAATGGAACTCAAGTTAACAATAACAACAACATCTTTGAGAGAAGAACATCTCTTGGTGAAGTCTCTAAAGGAGATACCATGGAGAACATGGATGTCAAGCAAACATCTTGTCAGGATGGCCTCAGTCAAGGTCTGTCAAACCTAACCACAGAAGTTATTTTTAAAAATTATATCATTTCACCTACATCTTTTAAAGGGATTTGAAAGTTGAAAAATTCTTCCTGCTGTGGGAATAAAGAAAAGGCTCATTAAAATGATAACTTAGTATTTAGGTCTTATAAAAAATAAGCGATTTGATACAAATAAATAATAAGATTCCAGTTTAAAACAAACCAAATATCCTTTAAGCCACCCTAAAATTTTTGTAGTTAACCACATTGAAAAGGTAGTCCTTTATCCTATCTGGGATTGACTGAACTACTTATGTATTCATGAGTAAAGCTTACAGACTCCAAGTCACTAGGCTAAAGACTGTTCATAACATCAAAAGGTTGGTTACCTGCTTCTAACACTCAGAATGAAGTAAGCAAAGAATTGCTGTGGACTTCTGTGCTGTCACCTTGGTGTCCTATATATTCTTCCTGTAAGAGACCAAATAAGCCAAGATACTGGAAACATTTTCTGTTGCAAATGGTTATCTTCTTTTATAATCAACCACAAATAAACCACCTATTTTCACATGCATGCATACACAGAAACACACAGAATGTGTGAATATGACTAGAATGCCTTAATAGTTATAGCATACATATTGATTCTATGTATAATATATATAGATATTTCATATGTGTATAAAATATAAAAATAAATATTCCATTACTTTTTCTAAAAGGAAAAAAAATTTACTGATACATGAGCACAAAGAAAATGAATCTTACAATAATTCTTTAGGTCAAACATTTTCTGGCAATGCTCCAAAGGGATTAATGTGGGAAATCCTTGTAGTTGCACTCCGTGACACATAAGTACACTATGTTAACATTTTTCTAAATATAATTAATCTTCATTTATAAATCTAACATAGAAAAATACTTGCATATATTTAGAAATTAGAAACCATGTAAGAATTTATAAAGATAAATGTGTAGGAGGGTATAAAATATTCAGTTTAATCTGTGAAGATATCTACCTGGTAGTTCTTGAAGACAGTGAAAATAAAAGAACACTTCTCAGCAGGCTTGTCATAATAGGACTGACAACACACAGCCAGAGATTGGACATGCTGTAAACTGTGTTCACTAATGAGCTGTTTAATTCTTTGATGATCTTTCTCACATATTAAAATGACTCCAATGAGATTTTCCTATAAACAAGTGTTTATATCAGATCATTAACTTTTAGAGCTAAATTCTTAGCTATTAAAAATGGACAGTATTAGAAAACTCCATTTTAAATTTTAAATTAAAGCAACATCTAGAGATTTAAGCCCATTCACTAAGTTTATATTATTTTCCCTGAAAGTAAAATCTGTAACATTCTTAAGAGGCAGCTTTAAGAGGAGTGTTTAGTGCCATTACTGCTAACTAAAGAATTGTATAACTATAGGCAGGTCAGTTGCTTTTCTGGGTGGTTCTTACTATGTGTAATATAAAAATAATACTACTTTGGTCCATACCGTAGCAAGTATTTTGACTACATCATTATATTAACTATATTCTATTTGATTAGAGCTTTTCTAAAAATGCAATTTTTATATCTGGAACCGTAATAGTTACTTCTAAAGAAAATATCAAATCCAATCAGTGATTTTTTTTTCCTTTCTTAATATTTTAATTTTTAAAACTCAGTGTGGTTTATAATAGATACATGTTCCTGCTGTGGCATATACAAAGTGTGGTCAGTAACCAGGTGTTTTCCAAAATTTGATTCATTTTTGATGGTTTCTTTCAGTTCAGAAATCTGTATCTTGTCATATAATTAATAATATTTATTAAATTATATGGCTACAGAAGATCAACAAACTATGCAATTAGCATGCTAATTTGAATCAAAACCTTACATTTCTTCTGAACCCTTTTTCTATTCTACACCCTCCATTTTGCCACATAATTATCAGTTTCCCTAGCAACACTGTCGATTCACAGTGAGATGCAGAGACTACTAATTCTTACTGAAACCAATTCATGTTTGTGCAGTATAGGTAGAATCAGTCATCGCAGACATAGTAGCATACATATCAAGCAGTCCTCTTCCTGTTTTGTTGCTGAGGACAGCCAGTGATAAATCTCCTTGAATTTCAATTGCTTGATCACGCAAACTAAAATGGCTTGGTCAGTAGCTAGATAGGAGTGCTCTGGAAAGCACTTTTCTAAATTGATCCTTTGCTTCTGTTGCTAGGGAACGCTAAAGTCCTACAGGTTTAGAAAAGAAAGTAAAGCTTTGGACCAAGCACCAGCCCTGGCATTTGAAGACTCCTCCCCGCTTTCCTCCAACCACACACCTTTTGCAACAGGAGGGGTATATGTCCCTGCCCCTAAAATTCAGTGCTCTGCCTTCTGCTTCCTATATACTAACCAGTTCTCAATTACATTTCAAGTACTAGAGTGTTTTATATACAAAATGAGTGGTTTAGAATATTTTTAGGTCTTGAGGAAGCTCAGTGAAGCAAAAGGAATAAAAATTATATATCAATGAAAAATTATCATGGTATGAAATAGTAGGCAAAAAAAAAAAACAAAACACAACAGAATGAAAGGGAAGAGTGAAGGAGGAAGAAATGGAGGAGGAGGAAAGGAAGAGCACAGCCATGGCCATAGGTGCATGTTAACTCTTGTTCTTCTGAAATAGCCCCCAACTGAGGACAGATGTGACTCTTCACATTGAATTATTATAAATTTCTGGAGTGATGAAACCATTTGCAGAATTTAAAATTTACTACAGTTAAGAATATATCTGATTGCAACTGAGATGGGAAAATGCAAAAAAAAAAAATGTAAAAATAAATTATTATTAAAAATAAAAAAAGAATATATCTGAGGGCCCTCCCTGCATCACAGTGGGTTAGAACACAGCACTGCAAGATAGCTGCAGCTGCTTCAGTGCGAGTTCGATCCCTGGCCCCAGAGATGGCCCACATGACATGGCAGACCTCTCCTAACCTGCCCACTGTTCCCCTCAGCAGTGTACTTTATCGATCTGCCTGTTCTGCTCCCCTCTCTATCTCTGGTGAAGCCTCTCACCTCTCCTGCACCTCTGGCTTGTACCCCAGCTCTGTACAAATAAATAGATAAATCGTATAAAAAAAAGAGTATTTCTGAACACTCTTTACATGGTTCTGTCTATTCTAAGCTCACCGAAGGACCACATTAGAATTTTGATAGATTATGTTTATAAATGCATTCTTTAATATTTTCTAATGTGGCTTTCTTACAACATATAACACAAATGTAGCATTTTCCCACCAAAAAATATAACATCTGGAGATGGCTTCTAGCTTGCTTCAGTGTGCTGGATAAATATTACTCTTTGTTTTACATGTGTTCCAAGATGTGAAAATGGTATTTTGCCATGTGGTGTCATGTGCCCATTGATGTCAGCATTTTTAGTAATGCTGGTCCATACCAGCATTATTATCTATCTTTATTATAGCCACAGCCCTGAAGTGACTAGAAACATTTGTGATTGTCTACCTACTTAAGTCAGGATTACAATAAGAGCAGAGAACACAGGCTAGAGAGCTGTGGAAGGAAAAAAGTGTCATCATGTCATTTTGACTAGATCCCCTAGAAAAGTTTTTAAAACAACATTCTGTTCTTGAGCTTTCAGGCATACTAGGATATATGGAGGGTAGTTCTCAGCTTTGAATATTTTAAGGTTGTTGTTAGAAAAAGATAACTCATATTCCATAGATATCCTGAATGAAAAAATAAGATTCAGTAGGCACAAGTTCCATAGGAATACAGGTTATGAGGTTATGTATCCTACCTTGAGAAGCCAGAAGTAAGCATAATTCCTTTTTAAAAGTTACTGGCCACAGGCCCTCCCTGGTGGCGCAGCGGGTTAAAGCACAGCACTGAGAATCCTCATGAGTTTGATTCCCGCCTGCCCCGGAGGTGACCACATGGCGTGGCAGACCTCTCTTGACCCGCCCGCTGCTCCCCTCAGCAGTGTACTTCGTCGATCTGCCTGTTCTGCTCCCCACTTTGTGTCTGGTGAAGCCTCTCACCGCCCCTGAACCTCTGGCCTGTACCCCGTTCTGTATGCACAAATAAATAAATCTTTAAAAAAAAAAAGTTACTGGCCACACAGAGAGCCTAAAAGTACAATGACTATTGAAAAGGAAGGTGGACTAGGTAGAAAGGACAATGATTGGCACCATCAAATGTTTGTCAAAGTATATGATGTGTAGGGTGACTGAAATCAAGGGTGAGGAGATGAGGGTCTGGTATGAGATAATTTAATATTTAATATAAACTTCATAAGAGAAGAAAACTAGTGTGAAAAAAGAAAAAGTACATAATGTTAGAATAGTGTTTTCCTGATTCATAAGTCTTGTGTTAAAGGTAGGGTCATTTGAAGTGCCAGATGGTATTCTTGGAGTAAAAGTAGATTTTACTTTTATGTCAAAAAAAGTCAGAAAAGGACTTTTTACTTAATTCTGTGAGCATTGTGATCCATTAAGAGTTCTGGTGCATACCAGGAGCCTCTGGGGAACTTGTAGGTTTGAAAATAGAGCTCTAAGACTTACATGAAGTTTAGTGATAGGTATTATTACCCAGGCTGCTGCTTTCTCACACTCATCTATTCATCCAGCAGGTCATTAATCCCCAAAGTGAGAACATGAGGGATGGCATTAAACATGTACTCTTGTTTCTTTTTGTTACTTTTTTTTTTCTTGATTCTATTGAGAGCAAGAAGATTTTTTTTTCTTGATTCTATTGAGAGCAAGAAGAAAAAGACTTAAACTATAAGATGGCAGATCAGAAAAATTGAGGTCAGAATTAATAACTCAATCCTGGTTGTACTTAAAAACAAGACAATTTCTTGGCTACTTTCAAGGTAATTTAAGAATATCCTGGAAGAGCAGGCATATGTATATGAAAATAAAACCTTTTCGTTTTCTCTCCTTTCCCCTACTCTTTTTCCACAAATGGTTTGGCTGCTGTATTAGGGCACCAGATTCCCCAAAAG